TAGTGATCCAAGAGTAGATCACTGGACAACATTCAAAATTATCCTTAGTTACCTAAGAGGACTAAGGAAATATTTCTTGATTATGGAGGTGATAAAGAGTTTGTCATAAAGAGTTACGTCGATGCAAGCTTTGACACCAATCCGGATGACTCTGAGTCTCGATCTGGATACATATTGAAAGTGGGAGCAATTAGCTAGAGTAGCTCCATGCAGAGCATTGTATACATAGAAATTTGCAAAATACATACGGATCTGAATGTGACAGACCCATTGACTAAACCTCTCTCACAAGCAAAACATGATCACACCTTAGTATTCTTTGGGTGTTAATCACATGGTGATGTGAACTAGATTATTGACTCTAGTAAACTCTTTGGGTGTTGGTCACATGGCGATGTGAAGTATGGGTGTTAAATCGCATGGTGATGTGAACTAGATTATTGACTCTAGTGCAAGTGGGAGACTGAAGGAAATATGCCCTAGAGGCAATAATAAAGTTGTGATTTTATATTTCCTTATTCATGATAAAGGTTTATTATTCATGCTAGAATTGTATTGATCGGAAACTTAAATACATGTGTGAATACATAAACAAATACCGTGTCCCTCGTAAGCCTCTACAAGACTAGCTCGTTGATCAAAGATGGATAAGGTTTCCTAACCATAGACATGTGTTGTCATTTGATAATGGGATCACATCATTAGGAGAATGATGTGATGGACAAGACCCATCCGTTAACTTAGCATAATGATCATTCAGTTTTATTGCTATTGATTTCTTCATGTCAAATACATATTCCTTCGACTATGAGATTATGCAACTCCCGAATACCGGAGGAATGTCTTTTGTGCTATCAAACGTCACAGCGTAACTGGGTGATCATAAAGATGCTCTACAAGTATCTCCGAAGGTGTTTTTTGAGTTGGCATCGATCGAGATTAGGATTTGTCACTCCGAATATCGGAGAGGTATCTCTAGGCCCTCTCGGTAATACACATCATAAGCTTGCAAGAAACGACTAAGGAGTTGGTCACGAGGTGATGTATTACGGAACGAGTAAAGAGAGTTGCCGGTAACGAGATTGAACTAGGTATGCAGATACCGATGATTGAATCTCGGATAAGTAACATACTGATAGACAAAGGGAATAATGTATGTTGTCATAACGGTTTGACCGATAAAGATCTTCGTAGAATATGTACGAGCCAATATGAGCATCCAGGTTTTGCTATTGGTTATCGACCGGAGAGGTGTCTTGGTCATGTCTACATAGTTTTTGAACCCGTAGGGTCCGCACGCTTAACGTTCGATGATGATATTGTATTATATGAGTTATGTGATTTGGTGACCGAATGGTGTTCGGAGTCCCGGGTGAGATCACGGACATGACGAGGAGTCTCGAAATGGTCGACAGGTAAAGATTGATATATAGGACGATAGTATTCGGACACCGGAAGTGTTCTGGAATGTATCAAGTATTTATCGGAGTAGCGAGGGGGTTACCGGAACCCCCGAGGGAAATATATGGGCCGTATGGGCCATGAGAGGGGAGCACACCAGCCCACAATGGGTGTCACGCCCCCCTATGGCAGGTGACCGAGTAGGAGAAGGAGAAGAGGGGGTTCGCCCCCTTCCTTCTCTTCTTCCCCTTCCTTTCTTCTCTGGTGGAAAATGGAAGGGGGGGGGCACTTGGGGAAACCCCAAGTAGGATTCGAATCCTACTTGGGGCGCCCCTGGCTGCCTCTTCTCCCCTCCCACCTATATATATGTGAAGAAGGGGGCGCCTAGAACACACACTATCAATTGTTAACCGTGTGCGGCACCCCCCTCCACAGTTTACACCCCTGGTCAAATTCTCGCAGTGCTTAGGCGAAGCCCTGCGCGGATCACTTCACCATCACCGTAACCATGTCATCGTGCTAATGGAACTCATCTACTTCCTCGACGTCTTGCTGGATCAAGAAGATGAGGGACGTCACCGAACTGAATGTGTGCAGAGCTCGGAGGTGTCGTACGTTCGGTGCTTGATCGGTCGGAACTAGAAGAAGTTCGACTACATCAACCATGTTGTCAAACGCTTCCACTTTCAGTCTACGAGGGTACGTAGACACACTCTCCCCCTCGTTGCTATGCATCTCCATGGATAGATCATTGCGTGTGCGTAGAATTTTTTTGTTTTTCCGTGCAACATTTCAACATCTTCCTCTTGTGGGTTTGATAACCCAGGGTCACCTCTAGAAAATAGATGCGGGATACTCTTTTCTGTTTCAATACCGGATGAATAAAAGGATGTACCAAGTCACAGTCGGCACATCTGTCTAACATATACTGCTCCTACTCCAATTGAAGACATTAACTTCACCAATTTTGTTGATGAAGAACAACTCTTCATCCAGCCTCCTCACTGGCGAAGACAGGCCCCAGGCAGCCCGGGCCGTGGCCTGAGGCCCACTTCATTCGTTATCTGTAGCTAGAGTACCATAGTAAATGAAGGAGGCATGTGCCTTGGCCCAATCATGACGCCACCACTGAGACTTCCATAGGCACTTCAATCAGCCAAGGATAAAGCAAGCTGTAACTTCCCTTCATTTTCCAAGAAGTTATCCACAAGATAATATAGGCCACTCATTCCTCCTAATCGAACGGTTAATATTGACTGGTACTTCAGTTTCTTTTAACACCATACAGATGCAGACGCTCATACACTCACCTTTATGAACACAGATGTATACTGGTACTCCACTTATAGTGTTAGAAAGTACCACCACTAAATATAATGAAGCACCATGATCAAAGGATTGAAATCGTAACTCGAAATATATGCCTCGTGTATATTTTTTAGTGGCCATGATGGCCTCTAATCTCTTAAATCCTAGATTCACGTGAACTGTCGATTTTTTTTTGAACGTTGGCAGGAGAACTGCCAAATTCATTGATCAGAAAATGAGTAACGAGAGCCCTCCAAAGGAGGAAAGCACAGCAAAAAGGCTAGTGCAAAAAGAAAAGAAAGAAAAAGAAACCCGCCGGCACCAACACAAACCCAAGCTCAGTCGACAACCGTGCACATCATCGGAATCCATCGTCGAGGTCACCAAGATGACGCCTCCAAGGAGGAAGTGGTATTGCTAACACCACCATCATCCAATCTGGCTCCGCCAGATCTTAGGTTTTCACCCGAGACCTCAGCCATAAGGTAGGAAGAGCAACGAGCTCCACGACGGTACCCCCAAGGAAGAAGACGACATCCATAGATGCCGTTACCGTCGGCACCGACGAGGTCAATGCAGGATTTTCATCCGGAGCCAAGTCTTCCGCCACCCATCCAGGATCCGAGACCTACCCATCGCCATCGGGCCGGATGAAGTCAGGCACACACTACCAGACACGGGAATGTCGCCGCCGCACGCAGAAACTAAGCGAGCACATGCCAACCTGACCGGTCTGCCCCGCCGCTCGCAGGACCTGGGCGAACCAAGTCGGCTTCGGCCATCCTCTGACTCCGTGCGCGGATCTAGGCGAGAATTCGCACCGCAACGCTCAAGAAAGACCAGAGAAGAACCTAAACTGGCCGGCCCGCACCGCAGCGCGCCGGAACAGAGCAAAAAAACCAAGCCAAAGTTAACAGGCTCGCGCCGCCGCGCGCTAGGACCGGACCTCCGCGCTGGAATTGGTGAGCCCGACCCTCCCCAAGCACCAACAGGATGGACGACACCCCTGCTCTAGGAGCTGGACGTGCACACGGTTGAAGGGAGAAGCCCACCAGCATCCACACCTCCACGACGCACAAGCACAACGCCACTCCTCGCCCGTGCGATCCAAGAACACGCAGCAGCGCCCCCTCCACACTCCCGTGAGCGCCCGCCATGGCACATGCGCGAGGCCGCCGGGCATCCGCCCCGGCAGATCGGCACAGGGGAAACCCCCGCACGCCACCGCGACGCACACAGCTGGTTCGCGCCGTGCACGCACACGCGCCGTCGCGCATCCCTGCTCAGCAGCGAAGCCCAGGGCCCGCCGAAACCCTAATCGGGTCCGGCCCCTGCTCGCCGCGCCTTCTCGCCGTGCGCAGCACACCCCGCGCCGCGCCCATCGCGCTCGCTGCGCCTTCTCGCCGCGCGCACCACGCCCGTCGGCGCCTGCTCGCCGCGCGCATCGCGCCCGCCGCGTCCCCGCTCCTCTCCTTGGCCGAGCGACCCCGCGCTGCCCAGGCCTCGTGAGAGGGAAAAAATGGGAGGCCCCGCCGCCGCCGACGCCACGCGGGCTTTGCTCGGCGGCGCTTGCCGGCGGCGGCGAGGGGAGGGGGAGATCTGGGAGGGGGGCTGGAGTGGCGGCTAGGGTTTCGCCCGGGCCGTCCGCGGGGAGGGCGACACGAGACGTAGGACGAGAGAGATGAACTGTCGATTTTGGTGGCCGCAATGCAGCACATCACCGGCTGCGTTGTGCGGCGGCTGGTCAGGCATGGATTGCCACATATGTCCAAAAGCGTGTAGTGGATCTCCTGTGGGAAAAATAATAATTTTAAATAAGCGAGTCTCCCATACCGGGAGGAGGAAGTACATACATATAATAAGAAAAAAAAAAGAGCACTGGTTCGCAAAAAGAAAAAGAAAGTAACAAGTCAAAGAAAAAACAAGTTTTTTTTAAAGCGTCGAAAAACAAGTTAGCGGCGTCAGAGTCCACCCGCGGCAGTTCACACGTGCCAGCTCCCGTGGCTGGACCCGGGTCCGACCGCCATCCCGGTCCGAGTCCACCGCACCGCGGCCAACTCCATAGTCCATCGCGATGCCGACGCGCACCATCCCCTTCCCCGTTCCTCAGCGCGCGCTCGCTCGCACGCGCAACACGGGGCCAGCGATCTCCCTCCCTCTCGCGCGTATATAGAAACCTCGCGTTTGCCGATCCCGACCACCGCTAGCCCGAGTCCCTTCGACCCTCGCAACCGTGGTGGTACACGACTGGACTAGCTAGCAGCCGTCCATCGCTGCGGTGCCGTCGCCCAATGGCCCGGCTCGCCCTCTCCGACTGCCGCGGCCTCACGCCGCTCCGCGCGCGCAGCCGCGGCGGCGCCATTGCGCTGCCGTCGCCTCCCCACCTCGCCGCGGGGCCGCGTCGCCCCGCGGCTGCCGCCATCCACCGCGACTGGGCGCTCCGCGTCGCCGCGCCCACCCGCCTCGCCTCCGTCTTCGAGGAGGATAAAAGGAGCCTCGGGGGAGCGGAGGAGGCCGGGAGCTCCTCGGCCGGGTTCAACCCGGGGGCGCCGCCGCCGTTCGGCCTGGCGGAGATCCGCGCGGCCATCCCGAAGCACTGCTGGGTCAAGGACCCGTGGCGGTCCATGAGCTACGTGCTGCGCGACGTCCTGGTCGTGCTCGGCCTCGCCGCCGCCGCCGCGCGGGTCGACAGCTGGCTCGTCTGGCCGCTCTACTGGGCCGCGCAGGGCACCATGTTCTGGGCGCTCTTCGTCCTGGGACACGACTGGTACGGGCCGTCCTACCTCGTACCCCAGACCCAAAGATCGGACCTCCATGCCGGTTTTAGCCTGAAAGCACTATGTTTGTCTCTTGTCCTGTAACGACTGTTTGGTGTTTGCAGTGGGCATGGGAGCTTCTCAAGCAACCCAAAGCTGAACAGCGTGGTCGGCCACATACTCCATTCCTCAATTCTCGTTCCATACAACGGCTGGTACGATGAGTGCATGCTGTATTTTCTTCTTTGTTGTGGAATTGTTATTGATGCTAAGAAAGGCGGCGTCTTGTGTGAATGTAATTGCAGGAGGATCAGCCACAGGACGCACCACCAGAACCACGGCCATGTGGAGAAGGACGAATCCTGGCACCCGGTAGGTGTTTGGCTCTTTGCTTCTCGGTGGATTCATGCATGCATAATTCTTCAGAGAGGCGGCGTTTTGGTGAATTGTGCTTGATGATTCCTTGAATTGTGATAATTCGCAGCTACCCCAGAGGCTGTACAATAGCCTGGACAATATGACAAAGAAGTTGCGGTTCAGCATGCCATTTCCCATGCTTGCATTCCCCTTATACTTGGTGAGGCACAAAGCTGCTTGATTTTACCACGACGTGTGAATTGGTTGGTCTTGTTTTCTAACATGGTAAATTCTTGTTCTGTGCAGTTTGCGAGGAGCCCTGGCAAGGAAGGCTCACACTTCAACCCGAACAGCGATTTGTTCCAACCTAATGAGAAAAAGGATGTGCTAACATCCACTGCGTCCTGGCTAGCAATGATTGGGGTTCTTGCAGGTCTGACCTTTGTGATGGGGCCTCTTAAAATGCTAAAGCTCTATGCAGTCCCATATGTGGTAAGAGCTTCATGCCTTTCATCAGACGCCCAATTTTGGCAAGCTTAGAATTTGGATAAGCCAATTCATGTGATTAATTTTGGTGAACCCATGTGCAGATATTTGTTATGTGGCTGGATTTTGTCACATACTTGCATCATCATGGTCACGAAGACAAGGTTCCCTGGTATCGTGGAAAGGTAATATCATGGTTGAATCAGATTTGCAATGAATCAATGCTTCAGGATAACTGCTTAATGTTCGAAATACAATGGCATGATCCATTATTATTTGTTAAAATGACAGAAAATACCTGTTTGCTGTTTCAAGTAGAATATACATGTGGAAAACAGAAAACTAAACATAATCGATGCTGTTAAAGAAAATGGCAAACATAGCAGTATAGTTTTAAAAATATTTAATGGAAGGTTCAGAAAGGGCACTTCCTGCCAACATATATTGACTGTTCAATTACATTTATTTCTGACTTGTTCTCAAATTTGTTGGTTCTTCTGGTCTGTAATTCAATCTTTGACCTGTGTGGTACTTATTCAAGATAGGTATCTGTGTTATGCCCAAGTGGACATGTTTCCTTCAGTCAGAAAGAGTAATCCTAGCGGTGAATGTTAGAAATGGAAGATATTATGTTTTCCAGTAGCTGCTTCAGTTTACATGGTTTTCATTTATAAATTATAATTGCTTAACAGTCCTAGTCTGATTTCTTATTGACATCGCTTTGCAAACTAATAGGAATGGAGCTATCTGCGCGGAGGATTGACAACACTTGATCGGGACTACGGGTTGATCAACAACATACACCATGACATTGGCACTCATGTCATTCACCATCTTTTCCCGCAAATCCCGCATTACAATCTTGTCGAGGCGGTAAGCCACCATCCCCTGCTCCTTAGCTCTTGCCTTTTTCTGGAACATGCATCAAAATATGTGGCATTCTCTAGAGCCACCTTTGCTAACTAGATGTTGGTTTGGATGTAACCTGCAGACTGAGGCAGCAAAGCCAGTTCTTGGCAAGTACTACAAAGAACCAGAGAAGTCGGCTCCTCTCCCATTCCACCTACTGCAGGTGCTATCGCGGAGTTTGAAGGAGGATCACTATGTTAGCGACACCGGAGACATAGTTTACTACCAAAGTGAGTCAGAGACGAGTACTTCTGCACAGAGCTCTGATTGAGCTGAAACATTAGCATATACTAGGTCATACTTCAACTCCTCAGGAGGTTGTGACTTAAAGAGTTAAACACCCTGACCAGCCTCCTGGGATCTCGGATTGGTGAGTCCATGAATGTACATCATGAAACACCAATGTACGTAGTAAGTTGTGAAGTATAACCATTGTAAAAGAGCAATTGCAGCTCCATTCAAGGCTTGCCTTGATCTGCTTGCTGGTATAGTCCCCTTGTACATCTTATCTCTATATTTTTGTCTTCTCATTCAGTAAAATCTCAACTGTCGGGGCTCCCCTAGACAGGTGGCAGTTCAAATTTTCTGTGTGTAAAAAGGCAAGAAATTTAGCCCTTTCCAATGACTGAAGGAGGAGACCACCTCTGGATCCGAAAATCCTACACTTACGGAATTCTTGCACGGACTGATTTTACGGGCTCCTTCCTCGCCAACCAATACCCCTGATTTTAGCTGGTGGGACCTCTCCTCCCTAATCTTCTTCAACCATAACTCTCCACTGGAGTCCGTAACTAAAATCCAGCAATAATGTGTCCGTAAGTCTGTCCGTAAGTCTAGCATCTCTCTTTGTAAAATGTACTGTACTTACAGAGAGAAAGATCGATTGTTTCCCACAGTTGGGAAGGCTATTATCATTGTCATTGTTTTCTTATGCTCTTCCTGCTCTTGAAAAGAAAAACACCTTTATAGTTTGTGGCTCTGCTGCTACTCATTGCTACTCCCTCTGTCCCATAATATAAGATTGTTTTTAACGGGCAGTATTGCCGGTAACAGTGCTCCAAAACAGGAGTGCATATGTTCCTTGTTCAACAGAAAGACGGATTTCTCTCATTTGATGTCTGACCTGACTGCCAATATGAACGCACATTCACCCCCTCTGAATCGCACTGCCGGAAGAACGACCGTTTCTACGTTCTTCACGCACGGGAATATACTTATTACCACCGTAGTAGACTGAGTAAAGAAAGCAAGCAAGAAAGAAAGAAAGCCGTTCGCAGTTTCCCACACGACAAAACGGCTGCTCTCTGACTCTGACCGCACCCTTCCAAATTCAGACTTTCTTCTTTCTTTTGATGGCATGACATGCTCTCGTGCGGCTGCTAGGAAGGAAGAATTCACGGCAGCACCGTCACAGCAGCATCGCAGCCTCCTCTCTGTGCGATGCGGAAACGTCTTACCTTTTAAGGGGGACGTGGTACGTGTTATATAGGGGATTGCGAGTCTCTGATACGCGTACAATTCTATTGGAGATACATGACTTGAGGGAGAAGAAGTATAGGAGATAAGAAGTATAGTTACAACCGAATACAGAATTTAAACTACCCATGCGGCTATCTATCTTATCTATCTCCTCATACATATCTCATTTGACACCCTCCCTTAATCACAACTTCATCAAGTTGAGATTATGCTTGAAATCTTCAAAACTCCTTGTAGGCAAAGCTTTTGTAAACCCATCTGCCACTTGATCCCTCGAATGAATGAAACGAATGTCCAAGAGTTTATTAGCAACTCTCTCTCTGACAAAATGGAAATCTATTTCAATGTGCTTTGTTCTAGCATGAAATACTGGATTTGCAGACAAATAAGTGGCACCAAGATTATCACACCATAAGCATGGAGCTTGAGAACTTTTCACACCTAACTCCTTCAAGATTGACTGTACCCAGATGATTTCTGCTGTTGCATTGGCCAAGGCCTTGTATTCTGCTTCAGTGCTTGACCTGGACACTGTGGCTTGTTTTCTGGCACACCATGATATAAGGTTGGGTCCAAAAAATAGTGCAAAGCCACCAGTGGAGCGTCTGTCATCCAAACATCCTGCCCAATCTGAATCAGAAAAGGCACTGACAAGAGTAGAAGGTGACTTGCTGAAGTTTAGACCAACATTCAAAGTATACTTGACATATCTGACAATGCGCTTAGCTGCAGTCAAGTGAACTGTGATGGGTGCATGTAGAAACTGACATACTTTGTTGACAGCAAAGGAAATGTCTGGCCTGGTCAATGTTAAGTACTGAAGTGCACCTACAAGACTTCTGTATTTTGTACTATCCTCTGGACCCAAAAGTGTTCCCTCTATAAGAGATAATTTTTCTGTACTAGAGAGAGGAGTGGGTGTGGGTTTACAACCTTGCAAACCTGCCTTCCTTACCAAATTTGTGGCATATTTTTCCTGAGAAAGATGTAGCCCATCCTTGTGTTGCTTCACCTCAATTCCTAGGAAGTAATGCAATTCTCCTAGATCCTTGAGAGCAAATTCAACACCTAAATCCTTCAAGAGTCCTGATATTGCCTCATTAGATGAGCTCGTGACAATAATATCATCAACATATATGAGAACAAACATGGAAGTGTTGAACTTGTTATAAATGAACAAGGAGGTGTCAGATTTGGAAGGAACAAAGCCAAGTGTCTTCATCTTTTTACTGAGACGGGAATACCATGCCCTTGGAGCTTGTTTCAGTCCATATAATGCTTTATCTAGCTTGCACACATAGGAAGGTGTATATTTGCTTTCAAACCCAGGAGGTTGCTTCATGTACATTTCCTCTTCCAGAACACCATGAAGAAACGCGTTTTGTACGTCTAATTGTCGAAGGCTACATCCCCTGGAAACAGCAATAGACAGTACAAGACAAATGGTAGCAGCTTTTACAACTGGACTAAAAGTATCCTCGTAGTCTATGCCATACCGTTGCTTGAAGCCTTTTGCAACTAGTCTAGCCTTATAGCGATCAATAGTTCCATCAGACTTTCTCTTAATTCTGAATACCCACTTGCAGTCAATGAGATATTTACCTTGCTTGGGGGGAACCAAGTGCCACGTTTTATTTCTTTCAAGTGCCTTATATTCTTCTACCATTGCCTTTTTCCACTTGTCATCACTGAGAGCATCTTCAATTGTGTTGGGCTCACCTGGTTCACCCGTGGAACAAACTAGACCATATTTGGTTATGTTCTTGTAATTTTTCGGTTGAATCAAACCTTGCTGTAATCTTGTGCGACGTTTTGGTGAACCAGCAGGATCTGCAGCCACAGAGGATCCCGCAGGAGCCAGATCAGCAGCAGAACTCGAGGAAGATTCGCCCGCCACTGTCGGTTCTGGATGCACGGGATTTTCTGTGGCTGTGACCCGAGGCGATGGTGGGGGAGACGCCGCAGGGGCTGCAGACGATCCAGGGGTGCCGACCAGCTCATCATGAGCGCGTGATTGCGCGGGCCCGCCTGAATCAGGAGCTGACCCCGCATCCGCCTGGCGCGTGAAGCCGCGCCGCTTGTAGCAAACCGGCTGGTCTGCGAAGCGCGTGCGGTCTGGGCCACTGTCGCGCTGCCGCGTGGCGGCGGGAGACCGGTGCGGGCTGGAGGGCGTGTCTCGCCCTGTTGGAGGGGGCCGCGCGTCATGCAGCGGGCCGCTGGAGCCCACGCAACCGACCGCGCCTGATGCATCTGACGCGGGCGTGCGGCTGGTCGTTGGCACGGATCCTAGAGGCGATTTCCTGGGCATCTGCAGCTCCGATCCTGAGGGGGATTTGCTCCCCTCGCCGCGACACATGTGATGAGGGCCATCTGGATGGATTTCGTCACCGTTTGGGTTGATTTCTTCGCCATTTTCTTCTCTGTTTCCATAGTGTGGTGCTCCTGTAACATCATTAGGTGACTCATGCGCAAGAGGGTTAGACGACATATGATCAGAACAATTATCAACACCCCCTTGATCATAACTAGAGAGACTTGGAGGAAGCAAAAGAATTTCTTTTTGAAGTAGAGCACCAGCATTTGGATGAAGATCAGAAAAAGGGAATTTGGTCTCATCAAAAACCACGTCGCGTGATATATAGACTCGACCAGTGGAGATGTCAAGGCACTTTACACCTTTGTGTTGGGCGCTGTACCCAAGGAAAGCACATTGGATTGATCAAAACATGAGCTTGCGTTTGTTGTATGTGCGTAGGTTAGGCCAGCACGCACACCCAAACACACGAAGAGTGGAATAGTCAGGTTTGACGTGAAGAAGGCGTCCTACTGGAGTTTCATTATTTATGACACGACTAGGGAGCATGTTGATAATGTGTATAGCAGTAAGAAACGCTTCGTTCCAAAACTTTAATGGCATGGACGCATGAGCTAAAAGAGCAAGACCAACTTCAACAATGTGACGGTGTTTGCGCTCAGCTGAGCCATTCTGTTGGTGAGCGTGAGGGCATGACACATGGTGTGAGATGCCAAGGGTTTGGAAGAAGGAGTTCAACTTCTCGTATTCCCCTCCCCAATTGGATTGGACAGCGATGATTTTGGAATCAAATTTACGCTCAACAAGTGCTTGAAAGTTTTAAACACTTGGAAAACATTGGATCTTTTCTTAAGAAGATAGATCCAGAAAAACTTGCTATAGTCATCAATAAAGCTTACGTAGTAAGTGTGCCGACCAACAGAGCTAGGGGCCGGTCCCCAAACATCAGAAAAAAATCAATTGCAATGGTTGAGTAGACACACTAGTAGAAATTGGATAGGGAAGTTGATGACTTTTAGCTCGCTGATAAGAATCACAAATAGTTTCAACATTGCGCTCACCAACATACGGGAGCTTATTTTTCCTAAGAAGTTTTTCAACTAAAGCAAAAGAAGCATGTCCTAAATGATCGTGCCATCGTGTTGACGAGAGTTTGACAACACCAAAAGCATGTTTACTGAATCTTGTGCGCTCCGGAATCAACGGGTAAAGCCCTCGAACACATCTACCTTGATAGAGGATTCTCTTCGTGGCCTGATCCTTGATAAAAAAGAAATATGGATGAAATTCGAGAAAGACGTGATTATCAAGAGCAATTCTATGAACAGAAAGAAGGCTTTTATTGGCACTAGGAACATGCAAGATTTTCTTAAGATGAATTTTTCTACGGGGGGTATGAAAAATTGAGTGACCAATGTGGTTAATCCTCATACCTTCACCACTAGCTGTGTGGATTTGATCCTTGCCACGATACTTTT